AGGTGGAGGCCTGCGCCCGTACCTCGGGGGAGAGGCTGACCCCCTGCGCTGGCGTCCCCGGGCTGGGCGGGGCGCCAGGCGGCCGGCCTGCTCGAGGGCAGGGGCATGCCCGCGTCCTGCTGCAGCCCCGGCGCTGCTCCGGCCAGCCTCAGCTCCCAGCCGCAGCTCGGGCGGCTCCCCGGCCCGCGGCCCCGGGGTTCCAGGCGGCGAGGCGGCCCCGGCAACACGCACTGCCTGACATTCTGCGCGAGTGGGAGGGCGAGGTCCCCGTGCAAAGCTCAAGGCGGCGGGCAGAGGCGGGTGGGCGGGTGCGGGCAGGCAGGCTGCCCGGCCACCCACAGCCGCCACCTCCCTGAAACCCGAACCACTTCTGGGAAAACTCAAGGACGCCAGATTTCTCCTCGCTGGCTGGCCGAGGGACGCCTGAACCGCTCATTTCCAATCAAACTCTCAAGGCCGAGCAGGTTGAGCAAGCAGGGATCTCCCAGGCTTTGAGGAGACTCCAACCTCCCACCCTGAATCCGGGAAGGCGGGGTGCTGTGGGCATTAGCCATAACCCCACCTCCCACAACTGTCTCTTTAAAGCCCCTCTAGATCGGAGGTTCTCAACCTGAGGTGATTTGCAACCCCTCTACCCAGGCCACCTTTGCTGTCAAAATTAAAAGGACTACTAGCAATTAGTGAACAGAGGCCGGGGATGGTGCTAAACATCTTACATCTTACAATGCACAAGACAGGTCTCGCCGCCACGCCCTCCAAACACACACACAACAAAGAATCATGGGGTCCAGACTGTCCACAGTGTCAAGACTGAGAAACCCTGTCCTAGAATGAGGTCTACCCAGCCAGGACCCTGCCTGAGAGCTGTGCATCCAGTGTCATTCTCAAAAGTATTCCCACACCAGCCCCTCCTCACAGCCCCCAAATCTCCATCCACAGTAACAGGCCAGTATCTACAAGTGAATCTTAACTCTAAACTTGATGTCCCTTGGTCCCCAATTGCACTACCGTGAGCTCCCAGGAAGGGGCTGAATGCATAGGCACTCAAGGGAGGGCTGCCTGGAGGAGGAGAAAAAGGAGGAGAGCAGGGCTGGAATGTAAACACTACACAGGGATCACAAAAGGCAGAAGTAAAGAAGTCCTGTCCGGTGGTTAGAAGCAATGTGGGAACAAGCCCAGTGCACCCCGCCCCCCAGGGCAACAAGCTGCCCCTCAGGACTGGTACAGTGGCTATGTGTAGCGCAGCCAGGACTTCACGGAGTGCAATCCAGGGGGCTACAGGCTGCTGGTATCAGGGCAAAACAGCAAGTGTGCATGTACAATGCATGTGCTGGCTCTCACATGCACATGCTTTCTCTCTATTTGTATTCTCCTTGGGGAAGAGTCCACAGCTTTCAACAGATTCTCAGAGGGGCTCACGATACAAAGGTCCATGGTATAGAATGGGCACCCTTCACTGGGCTCCCTGAAAATTCTTTAGTTGAAGTGCCAGGAGAGGTCCAGGTGCTATTTGGCGATTCTCGATGCCCAGAAAGACCCTGCAGAGTAGTACACCAGAGGCCCACCCAAGCTGTGGAAGACTGTGGCATCCCAGGACTTGCTTATTCACACAGCTGTAGAGCCTGGAAGGCTGGGTGAGTTTCTGGTATCATTTACCTCAGATGAGCCTCTAAGAGATAAGGGTGTCCACTCCTCCCAAAAAGGGCAGCCCAGCCCTCCAGCGAGGAGTACCCAGCAGGTACAAGGATAGGGAGCAAAGGATGCCTTTCCCTGGGGAATGGTACCAACAGCCCTTGACAGCCACCACTACAACAAGCCTGAGGCTCACTTCACTCATCACTCATACACATTTCTCCCCCGGGGAAACAGACAACATCTGTGGATCAGAGCATCCAGCCCATGAGGACAACTTGGGCAGTCAAAGCTGACAAGAGTCAGGTCCTTCTCCACCAGTGGCTCCTGACATTCCACTCAGAAAGTCTCCACTCCACGCCCACAGGCCCTAATCTGAACTCCAAATACATAGACAAATGTCAGAAGTTCTAAAGAGATACACAAGTGTGTCCAGGGTGTCCGTTGCAAGGCAAGAACCAAATAACTTATTTCTCAAGGATACTGAGCCAGGCACAGAACACAAAAAACTTGAAGAACTAAATGAACAGTGATCCTGTAACAAGCACCATGTGCCATTATTATACCATAAATTCCCCCCTTTCTTCTAGACCTGCACCAACCAATATGGTAACCACTAGCTAAATATGACTACTGAGCACTTGAAATGGGGAAAGTCTAAGTTGACATGTTCTCTAAGTATAAAATAAACACTAGATTTTGATGATAGTACAAAAAAAAAGAATGTAAAATGTCTCGTTAACTGTTTTAATACTGATTACATGGTGAAATGATTACTTGGTATATATTAGGTTAAATAAACATACCATTAAAGTTAATTTCACTGTGTTATAGATGAAATGTTTTTTTATTTAATTTCAATTAATTAACATACAGTATGTTATTAGTTTCAGAGGTATAGACTGAATGTTTATATGTGTCCCCTCAAAATCCGTATGTTGACATCCTAACCCCCAATATGATGGTATTTGGAGCTGGAGCCTTTGAGAGGTAATCAGGGTTAGACTGGTTCATGAGGGTGGGGCCCTCAATTTGGGGTTAGTAGAAGAGGAAGGATGATCTCTCTCTACCCCGCCCTCCAAACACGAAGGAAAGGCCACTCGAGGATGCATGAGAAGGCAGCCATCTGCCAGCCAGAAAGAGGGCCCTTACCACAACCCTACCATGCTGGCACACTGATCTCGGGACTTCCAGACACTAGAGCTGTGAGAAACAAACTCTGTTATTGAAGTCACCCAGCCTGTGGTCTTTACATATAGCAGCCCAAGCCAACTAAGACACCTGTTTCTTTTTCCTTTTATTAACACGACTACTACGAAATTTTATGTTATATACATGGTTGGTGCTCTATTTCTGTTGGACAGTGCTGTTCTGGATCCTCCTCCTGTGTGCTGCAGGCGATGGGGTACTTCTAAACAGCAAGCCAAGAGCTTGACGGAAGGGCATCCATGAAATCAAAGGAACAGGAGGGCCAGCTCTCCCCCTCCTTGGGCTTGGGGCAGCTCTTCCCAGAGCTCCTCACAGGTCAGGGCAGTGGCCACCAGAGAACTGGCTGGTGTGACCACAAGAAACACCCAGAGACCCCATCTTCCTGTCAGGGCAGGAACATAGGTCCTTAGATTCCAGTCTGCCCCACTTTGCAGAGCACACTACTCAGCACTGCCCGAGCCGGGCTGCGGGGGGAGCGGAGGGAAAGAGGGAGATACAGTCCTTCCAGGGGCCCCATCCCACCCTGTCCTGCCTCATCAGGGAAGGAGATGAGACTGGTGAGACGAGACTGAGACAAATTAGGATGAGGGTTCCAAGTCTGAGGTGCCCTGTCATAGAAGGAGGTCCCCTGTGCAGGCTGGGGCTTGGAAGAGCACAGGACCTTCAAGAGGAACCTAGACAGCCAGGTGGGCTACTGAGAGCCTATTAAGTCCGCTTGCGCGGCCCTATCCTCCGGAGCGCAATGCCTTCCTTTCCTTCAGAAGCATCTCAAAGCAGCACTTAAAAGGCAGAGGGAGCAACGAGCTCAACACCACCACTTTGCTTCTACCACACGGGAAATGGCTCCAAAAGAGCCGTGACGCCTCCTGCTACACTGTGCCCAAGTACCAATAGAGGGTCTTCATCCTCTCCTCCCTGCGCTCAGGCTACGCAACTCCAAACTCCACACAGACAACTCACTTGCTTTGGGTGTAGACAACTAAGCCACGCTACGTTAAAAGGAGGCCGAGAGTGGGGGTGGGATAGGATGGAGATCCCCCATCGCCACCCCCGCAGGAGCGCGGGGATCCCTGCCCCGCCCCTGCACGCCAGGCCCCGCCCTTCACGGGTTTCCCAGACTCCGCGCTGCTGCCGCCACCGCGGGCGGCAGGGGACCCGCGCTGCATGTGTAATGGGGGCTGGGAACAAAGACGCGCAGGACCCAGCGCCCCGGCTTCCGCGCACCAACCGCCCCAACCTCCCTGGGCTTCTCCCTGGAGCTTCAATGCGCGGCTCCCCACGCTTCCCAGGGCTACCTGGAGCAATCCGAACCGGAATGCGGGGCCCATCCCTGCGCGCAACCCGAGTTGGGCGCGCCCCAACACCGCTAGAAGAGGAAAATCACTGCTTGGGCCTTGGGGAAAAGCGCTTTCCCAGCGGAACTCCGCGTGTATACACCCGCACCCACACACCCTCAACCACAGGCACGCGAGCTGAACGCTAGCCCTGCCGGTCACCCACCCCCGCCACGTGCTTCTCAGAGGCAGAAACGGACCTGTTAATTTTTCTTTGCACCCCACCTCCCTTCTCAGGGGCCCCGAACAAAGCGGTCCCGTAGGGTGACCGCACCTCGCGTCCTGGGGCAGCCGCAGGGAAAGCAAGCGTAGGTGGGAGCTGGCGCCAACGGCCCGCCTTGAGGGGAACACAACGCAGACGCCGGTGGGATGGGGTGCAGGAGACTCCTGGCTGTGTGAAGCAGGCCCCTTCCCTTCGCTACACCTAATGGCTCTGAGGGTCGCGTAGTCCTGCCCCCAGCGCCTCCTGCACCTACGATCCCGCCACCCCCGGGTTAGATCTGGCCACCTTCCCCACGCTTTGGTTTTCCTCTCACTCTCCCTAGGTTCCACGCGCCCGAGTAGCCTGAACCCCGACCCTGAGGCTCTGGATCCCGGCCCCGATCATGGGGTCTCCAGGCCGCCGCAAAAACAAGATCGTCCCCCCAAGATCGGCGAGCGCGGCGCCCAGCGCGCCCCCAGTCCCCGCCCCGGGAGGTGCAAGCTGGGTGCAGGTGGCGCGGCGAGGAGGCCACGGGCCCGCCCTTTGTTGGTAAACACCGCGCGGCGCCCTAGACCGGCCCCGCGCGCCCTCCCCGCGCCCCCCACGCCGCGCCCAGTCCTTACCCGCGCACAGCGATCCCCAGAGGAGGGCGAGGGCCGCCCAGGGCGCCGTCATGTTCCGCGGCGCCGCCCCGCGGACACCCGGAGCCCGCGAGCAGGGCCGCGCGGCGCTCCCGGGGCGCGCAGGGCCCAGCGGCGGCTGCGCTTTTCTTCCCGCTTCTTCCTTCGGTCTCTTTCCCCGCGCGCTTCCTGCGCCTTAGTCCCCGGGCAGCGTGCAGGCTC